GATAACAGTTGTATGAGCCCCTAATAAAATGTTTTAAAAAAAAAGAAGCAAAGAAAAAAAAAAAAAGAATTACACTCTCGGAAACTCACGGAGGCAACTCTACCCTACCCTATTCATTGGGTCACTCTGAGTTCGAACCTGCTCATGGCAGTGAGTTTGGTTTCTTGGTTTGTTTGACATCCCTCTCCAAGGGCAGGTCTCTCCTGATAACAAAGTAAGTAAGATAAAGTCTCCTCCCATCCTCCCTTTCAAGGAACATTCTGTCTATACTTCTTGCGAGGCAAGAAGGGATTGTTCTGGCAATGCCTGGCATGTATATTCGCTATTTTTCACCAAAACCAAAATTCAAATGCATCATTTTTTCTTCAGTCTTCCTTATTCATTGTCCATCTTTTGCATACATGTGAAGGCGATCGAACATACCGTACTTTGATCAGATGCTTAATGCTCGAAGTGATACTTCATAGAGATCTTTGGAGATTTGTCCACTGCATTCATCCAAGTAGTTTTCCAAGCCTGGGGAATAGTTAGAGAAGCATACTGTATAGGAGCTATCGAGAGGCAAGCCCTCCCAGCAGTGGAGAAAACATTCTCTGCTGCTCCTTGGTCTACTCCCTCAAGTCCTTGTGTTGGCCTGCATAGGTGAGTCGAAATGTTTTTGTTTCCTTAGGTTTGGATCTATTGTGAGACACTGGTTTATTCAATGGATCGGAGCCATTTGGATGCCAATTAAGCCTACTTGATAAAAATAAAGGATGTTTTGTATATGGAGTTTAAGAAGAAATTGAGAACATGGAACAAAAGGGATCCTCCAGCCTAGCAACTCTTTTAGATGGGGTGGCCTTTCCAACAGGCAAAAGGCTTAGCTTATTGCAACCATTTTAACAGAAGTTATTCAGTGCAAACAGGTGCTTAGGTGAGATTTGGAGACTATGGGCCCATCATAAACAAGAAACTCACAGTATAGTTTAGGTGTCTATCAAAACACATTTAGTATTTCCTACTGCCTAGCTTTTATCGAGGAGTAACTATTAAGTTAACTGGCCAAAAGTTGGGTGATTCGAACCCAGCTAAAGGAAGCAAGGAAGAAAGGCCTGACAATCTTGCTTTCAAACTGCCACCATCTTGAAACCTATGGGGCAGTTCTACTCTGCCTTTACGGTGTACAATGACTTGGCATCACCTTGACGGCAACTATTAACAGCAGCTTTTATACAGCACAACTAAAACGATTATTTCAGAAGCTGCTACTCATTATTATGTTGCTTCATTAATATCTGCTATTATATACTGACTGTATTTAAGGAGCCCTGATGTAGTTGTGGGCTAGGCATAGGGATGCTAACTGCAAGGTCAATGATTCAAACCCACCATCCATGGGAGAAAACTTAGGCTTTCTGTTCCCATAAAGATTTACAGGGTTATAAACCTTGTAAAGCGTCTCTGTGAGTCTGAACCAACTCCATAGCAGTAAATTTTTAGTTAAAGCAAAACTTTCTTCAGAACTTTGTTATACTTTCAACTTTTATCCAAAGTAGGAACTGAATGGAATCCAAAAAATACTGGTACCTTTTGTTGTATCTTCTGTACAGTGCTATCTGTTAAATTTGAGCAAATAATCAGAGAAACTGGATTATATTAAGAAGAATGTGGCATTAGGATTGGAGGCAGGCAGATGAGACAAGCTTGCTTGCTGAAAGTGAAGAGGATTTGAAGCACTAGCTAATGAAGAGCAAGGATTGCAGCCCTTCAGTATGGATTACAATATAATGTATTAGAAGACCAAAATCCCCACAAATAGACCAACAGGTATAACATCATGATAAATGGAGGAAAGTTGTGCATGGATCCACGATCAATGCTCAGTCAAGAGATCAAGTGATATATTGCATTAGGTAAATCTACTCTACAAGACCTCTTTGTATGGGAAACAGAAGGATTTCTCCCAAGTTGTCTCCCCCAAATATATGCCAAACTTAGCTGCTTGAGAATGACTATATACTTGGAGGTCATCAGGAGTAGCCATCTAGAGCAAGCAGACACCACTGTTTATCCCACAACAAGTAGGGCTCACTCCCTTCTGATAAGGAAAGTAGCTGTCTGTTTCCTTGTAGAAGACACCATAGAAGTCAAACCCGCCCAAGGATGACCAAGGTTAGGTTGCCATCATGAATCCAGGGTCCGCCCATCTTGTCACATGTTTACCCCTAGGCCTTCCCATTCCTATGGGCACACCCCTAGCTCACCCCCTTCCTGTTATGCTTATGCCTATCATAGATCTCCTTCC